TAAGACGTGGAAGGTATTTGGTACAACACAGACCCTCCCCAGATCAGGACATCGCTCCAAACTGTATGAAAGAGCCAGGAGGAAACTGGTCAGAGAGGCTACCAAGAGGCCTACAGCAACTCTGAAGCAGTTGCAGGAATTTATAACAAAGAGTGGTCATTGTGTGCATGTGACAACAATATCACACACATTCTCCACAAATGTGGCTTGTATGGGAGGGTTGAAATAAAAAAGCCACTCCTCAAGAAAGGCCACATGCAGTCACCACTGAGCTTTGCCAAAACACGCCTTGAAGATTCTGAGGCCACATGGAAAAAGGTGTTCTGGTCAGATGAGACTAAAATTGAATTACTTGGCCTCAACACTAAACGATATATCTGGCAGAAATCCAATATAGCTCACCATCCAAATAACATCATTCCTACAGTAAAGCATGAAGGCGGTAATATCCTGGTATGGGGGTGTTTCTCTGCAGCAGGGTCTCGAGCAGGGGCGAACTGAAAACTCATGGGGCCCCCGGGCAATAGTGGATCATGGGGCCCTCTTGTCCTTGCCCAAACTCAAAAAAGCCTATGAAAAAGGTACCAGGGGCATCTCATGGGGCCCCCTACTGACCCCGGGCCCTCGGGCAGTGCCCGAGTTTCCAAATAGTCAGTCCGCCCCTGGTCTCAAGCATTTGTCAGGATAGACGGCGGAAAAATGGATAGGGCAAAATGCCATCAAATTCTTGAGGAAAATCTTCTGCCCTCTGCTAGTTTAACTGAACTTGAGCAGTTCTGCAAAGAAAATTGGACAAATAGTGCAAAGTCTAGATGTGCAAAGTTAGTAGAGAAATATCCCAACAGACTAAAGGTTGTAATTAAAGCAAAAGGTGGTTCAATGAAATACTGACACAAGTAGGTTATCCTTTTTCTAACTCAGCGATTCTGTTTTTGATTTTTCTTTTCTGGCATGGTGGTGTTATATCTGTCACTTTTATGTTTTAAATTGCACAGTGATTCTGTTTTTGCTTTTCTTTTCTGGCATGGTGGTGTTATATCTTTCACTTTTATGTTTTAAGTTGCACTGAGTCAATACAGCTGGATAAAACAAAAACTGTGTCTGTCTTCATTGCAGGCTTCAACAAAATGTGATTATTTTAAAAGGGGGATTATTTTTTTCTATACTTACTGTAATTTCATTAAAAATCCGACAGGCTGGTTGTACCCAAGTCGTACAACAATCGACTTCGGTACAATCAGCCTGCCCATAGATGGTTAAAATCTCGGCTGTTCCCTGTTGAACTAGCCGAGATTTGAACCCTTCTATGGCCAACTTTAGTCAGCAATGCAAAAGTATTGAAGACCATTGAATCAGCATGGAAAGAGGGAAACTAGCAATTTTAAAAAGAGACCTCAACAATGGCGATCTACATGTTCCCTCAGTACAGGTTCCTTTAAAAAAATGTCCATGTTCAGGAGTCCTATGTGTCCTATAATGGCTCCTATTGATAGGTCAGCAAAAACAGTTCAAGCACAAAATTGCTAATGTAACCGTTCTTTCACTTTACATTCTAATGATTATGCTTCAGCATGGACACTCTTATCCATACAAAGCCAAGGGCTCTATGGTAGGTGCTTTTACATGTTGCACCCAGCAGAAATAAGGAAGCTGCCATAGTGCCCTTGTTTTTAAAAGGTACAGGGTGTGGACTGGCATCCTATTCCTAGCTTCACTATCTGGTGAGTCACTGACCTGGGACAAAGGATGTAGCTGAGGTCTGAGCCTTCACCCTGCATGTATCTTTCAGGTCAGTGACTCAGTAGGTATGATATTGAAGAAAATAATCTAGCAATGGCAGCTCTCACATTTTAGGTTCACTTCAAAGAAAACTATAACAGTTGCATTAAATGGAAGGTTCTAGTGCATACTTACATGTTCCTGAACTGCCAAAGCAAATACTGACATAATGAGAGTCAGAGAATAGACACGCTCCTGCCCCATCCCATATCACAATGACTGGATCTCTTGGTAGGACAATTAAAGTCTTCGCAATGCATTTCAGGATGTAGGCGGGTGTCTATGCAATGACTTTAAGGAAGTCAATATCTGTATAGCAGCTCAGGAGGCCCTTTAATAATGACTCTTAGGCAAAAATTGGTTTAATATTATTGCAATTTTTACTTAAAAAACATTTGTATTAAATGCAGGATTGTTTACAATGCCCTGACAGGTTTGACATTATAAGCCAGAGGAGTATATCTAATAAACAAAGTGCTAGGCGCTGTCAAGGTACCCATATGCATGTATGTCTGTGTGATAGTTGTGCGACTTTTCATTTGAGTGATATACACTGGAAATGGAAAGAGATAGTTGTCGGTCATGCAAAAAAGGAACAAGATGAAACATCTCTTCAGATCTCTTTTCAAGATCTTGCATGTCTACATTGAGCTATTGTACTTTGTCAGGAAACAGATCCATACCTTAGGTAGCCAATATGTGAAGCTGAGTTTATTTGCTTACATATGGATGGGACTCTGCAGACCCCTTTTAAAGGTATATTACTTTGGTTTAGTGAATATGTACCTACAAGTACTGGTGAGGGAATTGGGCCCAGGCACTGTGTATTTCATACTACAACAGGGCCAGATGGATGAGGCTTTCCAAGCCATGGTGAAAAGCTCCTTTAATGTTTCCCAGACACTGTCTCAATTATATATCCTATTAAGAACTCATTGCACTCTACTTAGACTCCATAGAATGGGTATCTTCTGTGATCCCTATGCTGCAAATGTAGTAGAAAAAGCAGGGACCTGATTCACTTATCATGGCAATGTTTCAAATCAATGTGCTCTTGGACCCTAATTGTTGTCTACTGGGTATTCTAAACAAGGTGATACCTGAAGAAGTGCTAACATGTGCCCTCTTTCAGGCCCATAAATTAATCCTGCAGTTGTTAAAATCTCCTTATCCACCCTCTCTTCCTCTTGGATAACAGAGGTTGGGTAAATTTGAAAAACTATGGGGGCGTCCTGGCTCAGTACAATGGGTCTTGGACAAATGAGATTGCTGCAATGCTTAGGAGAACAGTAGGAAGGATGGTTCTGAAGTTTGTTTTATTGTATCTGGGAGCCTTAGCTCTTTCAAGAAGACTACTGTACCCTCCATGAGACTGTGAATGCTTGCAGATGTCTTGGACATGTCTCTCTTCTTTTATTGTGTATGTTACATACCCGCCCTGGAATGCAGCAAACTGTTCAATAAAGAATCTTTCTGATTAAAAAAACAAAAAAACAGGACTAGGTCTTTCTAAAAGTGCAAGCTATCTCCTTGACAGTAGTGATTGGCTCCCAAATTCTGCTGTCCCTCACAATCTACAAAGTGGCATACATTGAATTAACCTGATGATAAAGTACTCATGTGTTTGGCTGGCTCACCATTGTCGTATGACAATTCTGAGTGCATATGGGTACCATTACAGTTCCTTGCTAAAACTTTTCATGAGACATATAAGCAGATGACAGACCATTGAGAAAGCTTTCTGTTAGTGTAATTCATAGAGAAGCAAGATTCAGTTATCCCCCAGAGTGATTGGAGGAGAAAGCAGGGCTTGGGCATGCATAATTCCGCTGCCTCTACTTCTACAGGATTGCATGTTATTGGCTGCAGTGCTGAGAAGTTCCACAACCTGCAGTCTTCTATGCACTAAAAAGCAGTAAGCTGACTTTCATCCTAACAAACTACACTGGACTAGTAAAAGAAGAACATAAATCAAAGCAGTACCTGATAAGAACCCCGGGTAATTGGTAATAGCTGATGCATGAAACATCATACAGTGAAATTGTTGGTAATTTGATCAACATAGGAAATCATCAGACGTATTTACCAAAATAAAGTAAAAGCTAAATGTAGTATCTTAAAGCAACCAATCAGAATTTATCTTTTACTAATGTGTAAATCAAAATCTAATTGGCTGCTCTAAGATCTCAACCCATATTGTGTGCTAAAGCCCGACTCCAGCCAAAACATTTTTTTAGCTTTGAATTAAGGGCGGATGGGATAGCACGATTTTTTGGTTCTGATTTGTGGTGTGTCACTGATTTTCCCTGATATCCTGTTGCATGGGAAGTGAGAAATCTCTCCAGTGAGAACCTCCTTCAGGTTCTTTTTACTTTCTGTGCCTTTTTGACATTGAAAACTTCTCCTTTCATTTCTAGTCTTGCTGTCACAGAGACAGAAAGTGAGGTGACATCTCCCCTGTAGGGTCACTGATTGCAATAACAATATAAAGAGTTTGAGGTTTTGCGCTCTTTGCGATAGTTACATTGGATCAGCTTGGACCAATGTAACTATGCATATACCATATCTGTGGGATCCCTCTATGAGCTGGAAATCTCTGTAGTAGGCACAGCTACTTCAGTGATGTCCACTTGCTTCCAGGTCCCGTACCGAGCAGCTCCCCTGCTGTATTATGCACACAGGAAGTCGGATACAGCACCATTCAGAAAATGCTTTGCATTTTCTCAATGAATGCAAAGCATTCTCTGATTGGACACGGTGGAAAGGTGGGGCAGTCATGAACGGTGTAAAAATGCCAAACCTGGAATTCTTCTTTAAGTAGATGTTCTTCCCACATCTTTGCAGAACCAATAAAATAACGTTTGGCTGGAGCTGGGTGTAAGATCCAAATAAATCACCTGGACCTATCCATATGAACTAATAACAGCTAAGGGTTCTTTTGCCTCAAATGCTTACCATGTTGATATTTTCTGGGTGGACAGTTTATACAACTTTTAGACTTGAAAAACCTTTTCTACTCAATTCTTAACTAACCCACTGCCTGGTTGTGACACATGACATTCAAAACTGCAACACTCTTTGCACAAATCGAACTGTGCAAGGCTGGTGTAATCTACCTATACAATACCATGTACCAAATCAACAGTCTGTCTAAAACAACATCACATGATTGATCAGGACATGAAAAGCCAGGCCAATAGATAGCAGGAATGGCTCTTACCTGTGATTATATCCTCAATGGCTCCATCTTTGCCTTCATAAACATGTCTATTATCTTTAACTTGTCTCCTCCTCAGCTCTGCTATTAACTCCTGCTGCTGACGTTTAGATTTATGTGAAGGAGACTGCAAGAAAGCAATGTAATGGATTATTCTAGACAATGTAAAACATGCTGAAAATTGTAGCAATTAAATATTTGGATCAAGAAGCTTAAATTTTACTTTATGCAAGGAAAGGAAAATGGGTGGACAAGCAGATTTATTATGCAGAAGAGACATGCTTTTTCTCTTCGGCATTAAAACTACTTACCTGTCTGTGCATGTGTAGCTCACTGCACGAATTTGGCAATGCCAAAGCTGCCAGAACTCCCGAGGGAGTGGCGTCATCTCGGCCCAGCCAATGGCAGCGGTCAGTGATCAAGACCAAAAAGCTGGCCGTCCGAAAATGTCTCACTGGATTGAAGGTAAGTATAGTTCCCTTTTAAAGTGCATGCAAAGCAAAAATGTTTTTTAATCATCTTGGATCAAGTATAAAATTATATATAAACCCGTTCTTTTTTTGTGTCATCCATGTCTCCGTGAGGAGATTTCTCTTCACTTCCTGTCCATTAAACACAACAGGAAATGGGAAGAAATCTCTCCAAAGTGAGGGAAATCCCACTTAGCTGTCTCTGGGACAGGTGTTCCTATTGGAAGATTTCCCCTCCTCCATTCTTATTCTAATGACAACTCCAAATGTTGGATTTCTCATCACTTTCTGTATTGGCAGCCATGGTCATAGGGACAAACAGAGAACGTGAATTTCCAGAGAGGAGACACAGACTGCAATAAAAATCTATCCGTGGTTCTAAGTTCTCGTTCACACAAGTGATTACATCCATGCCCCGTACAAGACTGTGTTTTACCAGCATGGGCATGCACAGGTGTTCCATGTATCTCTGTGCAGGCAGTCCCTTTCATGTCTATTGTGATGTAGTGGCTGCATGGACACAACCGCTGCTCCCAATGTGAAATCCGTGTAGGTGCAGGTGCGTACCCACACCCAAATGATTGTCATATTGGGACACAGCAACTGTGCCCCTGCAGCCGCTGTGTCCTAATAGACATGAATAGGACTCCCTGCACAGAGATGCATGGAACATCTACATCACCATGTGGGTAAAATATGGCCCTGTATGTGGCATGGATGTAATCACCCCATATGAACAAGGTCTAACCCTTCATCATTCTAGCCAATCTTTTTTTTTAAAGTTGTGGCTTTAGGTACAAATTAAAGTCATAATCTGTACGTAAGTACATTGTGTTTGCTAATGTAAAATCGTAACTTTTTTTCTATGCTAAATAATATTTTTTTCATGACTATACCATGTTATTGATGGCAATGTTTTCTATACAAAATTGTAGCCACTACAGGGTGTATCTATCTTTGCAGCAGACAAAAAAATCCACATTCTAGCTGAACAAATGCTATCAATTTAATACTGTATCTAAGGTGTATGTTTGAATTGCCTTTTCCTTATGCGGGTCTTAAAATGGTTGTAAAGGTTCATTTTTTTTCTTTAAAATAACAAACATGTCATACTTACTTGCTCTGTGGTTATGCAGAGAAGCCCTGATCTTCCTCTTCTTGGTTCCCCCGCTGGCGCTTCTAGCCCCTCTTCCTTGCTGAGTGCCTCCAGAGCAAGCTGCTTGTTATGGGGGTACTCATGCGTGCTCGCTCCCGAGTCGCCTCTGTATGGCTATGGGACACACAGGGCATGGCTCAGTCCCACCCTTCGCTCCCTCCTCACTGGCTGTGATTGGCAGCAGCGGAAGCCATTGTGTCTCAGCCAATGAGGAGAGACCTGGAAGAGCCTTGGCTCCCATGCACATCGCTGGATCAGGATCAGGCTCAGGTAAGTATTAGAGGAGCTATGGGGGAACTGCACACTGAAGATTTTTTACCTTCATACATAGAAAGCAGGAAGGTAAAAAACCTTCAGCCTTTACAACCACTTTACATTCCGAAGAGCTGGTGAACAATAAAACAGGCACAAGCTTTTCTAGCTGATAAATAGAGTGGAACCTTTTGATTTTGTTGGTCCATCATGGCTTCTTGTTCTAGGAGTTTCTCCATGAGGGCCTGTTCCTGTTTTTTTCTCAGTTCGTTCTCCTCATCTGCTAGCTAAGAGACAAAAAACAAAAGAAAATTTAGAATAACCTACCATAAGTAGTAGAATTTTAACACAAGAAACCCTGTCCAATAATCATAGAGAACACATCGAAATATACAGAATACTCCCAAAAAATAAAGGGTACGATTCTACGATTCTTTTTCTTCCTTCACCACCTCCTATTGCCATACTAACTATGCCAATAAACATTAAAGCTGATTTTGCAGACACATAAAAAGGAACAAAATAATGTTTCAGTGATTTTGTGTCCTTTATATTAATGCTGGCAGTGTAAGTACCTGAATTTGACTTGGTAGCTGCCTACTTTAGTCTCTGTCTCTGCACAGCAGAGCTCAGACTATGGGAGGTACAAGCAGCACAACAGGCCAGTCAGCTGTACTGCAGTGCAAGGAGCATGCTGATAGGAGGAGAAAGCTGACAGAAAGATGAGCTCATCATTGTGCTGCTTCTCCATTCACTGACCAGTCACAGATTAGTGGTGATGAATAAACCTGTAAGAATGACCCAACTATAGCAGAGAAAAGGTCATCTGCCCATTCAGACAGGGTTGTGCTGTGTGCCCAAGCTGTGTACATTTCGGAACTGGGTGAACAGAATAAATGTAAAAAAAACACAGATCCTACATATATAGTTGTCTTTGTATTGCATAGTATACTGCATTAAGATGTATATATATTGTTATGCAAAGTCTTTAGAATGTGTGCACTTGTTCTGTGTCCAGTGTTCTGTTCCTGTGTTATCTCAAGGAGACTATTTATCCATCTTGGTTATTATGTTGAACTATAAGTAAAGTAGTTCCTATGATATGAATAAGAAAGAGTAGAAATGAATAAAGCTGATCTCCACCTTTTTATATACTTTAAACAGTTTGTTTGGGTCAGCTTGGTCCCTCACTAACATATGAGGCCACTGGATTTTCAGTATAAACTGTATGTAGCTGCGGCTACATACAGTGTACTGCACTGTGTTCTGGGTTCGAGCTGAGATTTCCAGTCTCTTACCCGGAACACAGTAGAGTCTATCACTGCGGTGCTCAGCCATTCAGAGCAAGCAATGTATTCTATCCATGAATACAATGCTTGCTCTGATTGGTCAGAGTCTGAGAGTCGGGCTTATGAAGTAACAACCTCCTCTGACTCAGCCAATCAGAGGAAGCTTTATATTCATCGATATAATACATCCCTTTCTCTGAATGGCTGAGTGCTGCTGTGATCGACTCCACTGTGTTCCAGGTATGAGATTGCAAAGTCTTGGCTCAAACCCAGAACACAGTGCAGTATGATGTATGTAGCCACAGCTACATACAGTTTATCCCACACATCTAGCGGTCTCACATGTTAGTGAGGAAAATAGTTAGTTTGGGCCAAGCTGGCCCAAACAGTTTAAAGTATATCAAAAGGTGGAGATCAACCTTAATCATTTCCACTCTCTTCTTATCCACATCATAGGAACTAATTGACTTTTACTTCAACATAACAAACAGAAGGGATAAATAGTCTCCTTGAGATAACACAGGATCAGAACACAGGACACAGAACAATTCTGAATTGCTGACAAAAACAATATTTTTTTTGTACATAATTGCTCCAGGTTGGGAAAGTACTCATTAGTATAACCACAATAAGGGCTCGTTCACACGTGATTTGATATCTGAAGAACTGTTGTTGATTGCTCTTCATAGAACATTTAACAGGTGGTGAGGAGGTGTTCATTGGCTACTCACCACCTGTTTAAACCCTTTGAAGCCTGCACTAGCAAGCTGCAACTGCATGCATTGCACATGGTTACAGGGCACTTGCAGAGTGGCCCCATTCTCTTGAATTTATCATGTTTGACGGGCAGTAGCATCTCCAAAAAGTGACAGAGGATTCCTGCTGCAACTGTGAAGCAAATAATCTCAAACACATCATGTGTACACCCCTGGATACTGCATCTGCAGCTAAATAGGGGTAGCGGTTGGGCGGTGGTAAAGGCACAGCTCAATCTCTGTGTTTTACCCCCCCAAACAACAAATGTGAATGAGCCCTCAGGGTAACTGTGCCAGATGTTCCATTTTCAGAAAGGTTTATCAAAGTTCCCACATCTCATATCTCCCAGGTCTGCTGTATGCAAAACCTATCAGCAACTAATGCACACATGATTCTTCAAAAAATAACTATGGTAGCAAAACTATTATATGGCATGGTATAGTGTTCCAGTGATATGTGAATGGGACTGAAAAACAGTCTTCCAATGTCATTGCCTACACTGGATCTCTCCCGAGGCTGCTCTGAAGTGCTCTGTACATGACTGTCAATTTCAGCAAAATGTCATTCTCTACAGAAAGGAGCTCTATATTTGTGTACACATCACTACAGCTAAAAAAAAAGTAAAGGTCATGAAAGGGGGAATAGAGGGAACAGACAGGTAATTGACAAACTTAAAGTGGAACTATATAAAAGTGATAAAAAGCTGTGAGCAGTAAGCTCTTTATTGCAGAAGAGACAAGCTATGTCTCCTCTGCAACAACAAACAGTTATCTGCCTGCTTGCAGTCTTCTATTCATTGTACACTGAGCTGTTCATGCGCAGCTCAGCATGCATTCCTGACACACTCTGGCTGTGCTGGAATGAGTGACTTCCGTGTACATGCACAAAATGACATAATTTCCCCACCAGCCAATCAAGGGGCCAAAAACCCGATATCCGGAAGAAGCTGAGGAAAAGATGACAGCTACCAGCAAGGGATGTACCACTGCATCTCTGGAAGGTTTAGGTGGATATTTCTGTGGGTTTAGTTCTGCTTTAAGAATACATAGCAGATATGACAGACATAAAATGTGAATCAGGACTGAAAAAGCTGACAGAAGAGCTGGCTCTTATTCCCTTCATGTTGGTTGACGCTGTAAGAAAATGAAAGTCTTCTGACCTTGTAGGCTTTCACGAATCGGACGAAAACAGGGAAGAATACAGATGGAGGAGTGGTTTTAGGATTTTCACCAAAATATTTCACTGCGTCATCAAAGGCATCCTGCAAAAAGGAAATCTTCATTAAAGCAGAGCCTAATCACATTATATTGTTTAGGTTAATCATGTGCTAAAAATCCTTGAGAAGCTTTACATTTGCAAACACAGTATGGAACAATGAAACAGAAAATGTGATTGGATGACATGGGAAGCACCTTTTATTTTCAGAGTAGAGTAAATAAAATAACATTTGTGATCTAGAATAGGGGTCTCCAAACTTTCAAAACAAGGGGCCCGTTTGCCGCCCTTTAGACTTTAAAAGGGCCAGACTGTGGCCAGTGAGAGAAAAAAATGCCCTGGAACTGGCGGGAGTAAACAATACCTTAAGATTGGTGGTCAGTAGGAGGACTAGTGCCCCATACTTGACAGTGGGAAAATCAGTTCCCCATGTCTGGTGTCAGTGGGAGGAACAGTACTACATCACTGGTGTCAGTGGAGGGAATAGTGCCTCATATCAGTGGGAGGAATAGTGCCCCAAGGACCAGAAAAAGGAAAGTAAAGAGCCACATGGGCTGCAGTTTGGAAACCCTGATTTAGGACATGAAAGAGAAGAAAATTATATGGGTAATACCAGCAAAAAAACAATACTACAAAGTCAAAAGAACTTACTTATACCCTTTGTATAACTTCTATTCCTTTAAATTAATGATTCATTATATTTTTCATGTGTGATTTTGGGTCTTTGGTTCTCTTCTGCCATCTTTTCAGCTGGATTTTTGCTGTCTATTCCCCATCACACACACAGACGTGACTTCTGACTGTATGTCTATTGATACTAGCTGCTGTGACAGTTTGTGCTTAGATGGACTGCACACTCCTGTGATACTGGAAATATTGGAGACATGCCAGCATTGAATTACTTAAGGAGTAGAACATCTTCACTTTGCAAGACAATTTTTCCCCAGCTCAGTGAATATATAAAAAATTCATTTTGGCAAAAATACCCAATCATGTGCAATGAAAATGAAAAAAAAATACAGGATTTTTGCTTGAACATGAATGGATGCTTGATGTCAGCAGAGCTTCCCCTTTTCACTAAGCTAATTGAAAACTCCTTTGCAAAGTAGACATACTCTACTCCTTTAGTAAACCAATCCTACTCTGCGCAATCTCAGTGTGGGAAACCTCATCTGTCACTTGCCATTAGATGAGATAGGTTAGGAGAATGAATGACAAATTTAAACAATCGAGGTACTATGCACGTGGGAGATCCCATTATTTGAAAACAAGTCTAAGAAGTCAAAAGGTTATTCACCCCATCACACTCCACTGATAATTGAAATGCAATTTTGGGTGGAATGACCCTTTAACAGCTAAGCAAAATGTATCTTCCCTTGCGTGCAGATTACAGTATATATGTTCTAGCTAATTCAGCCAAAGGCATCAGGTCATTTAAAAAAAATAAAAGATCTGGGATTTAGGCAGCTTTGAGAGCCAGTCACTAGATGAGAACATCAATTATCTTGGCATTTGGTACTGACTTACTTGAGAGATTTTGGCATCATCCTGCAACTTCTTCAGCCTCCCTTCATTGTTCTGTATAAATTCTTTGAGCATTATATTGTGATCGTGCATGGTGTACTCTCGTTTTGTCAGATCCATCCCTCGCTGAAGTTCTTTCACATCCAAAAGGACATTTTCAAGAGAGACTGCAAAACAACACCCAGAGTTGACTGGGAATTTGTGCAACATAGGAATATAAATGCAATACCTATCATGGCCATGTGAAGGAGCTCACGTGCATTGAAAGACTATATGAAAATAAAAGCCCAGTGCAAGTAAAAAATGGTGTCAGGACATGGGGAATCCATACCACAGGCACAAACCACCCCATTCAGTTCAGATTATTTTGCACAGGTATTTGTATATGTGTGCAAGGATTAGAACATGAAGACCAGATGGCCAGTCAGACTATTAGATCACATGTAAAACTCTGTGCTATAATGTACATGCTCACTTAAACAGAGGAAAATAATTTAAACAGATCAGCTATTAGCACAGGATTTATGAATAAAAAAGCTGAACTCCAGCAAAAAAACTGAAATGATACAACATGAGGAAGCACCTATAATCTGTTGACAAATCTCTGTCCATTCAGTGCTGAGATATACAGTAAATAACCCCATCACAGAGCATTGCTGGGAGGATAACATCACTAATTCTGTTACAGTTAAGCAACACAGTGGTGTCAACTCTTCATTCTCTGCCTGCTGATTGGACACCGAAGGAGCAATGAGTTCATCCCTCTGCTCTCTCCTTCTCTCAGCTTGCTCCTTTCTTGTACATTTATATGCAGTTTAGTCCCCTCCCTCCTAGATTGTAAGCTCCAAGGAGCAGTGCCCTCCTATCCCTCTTGTATTGAACTGTATTGTTGCTGTATTGTCTCCCGTTATATTGTAAAGTGCTGAGCAAACTGTTGGCGCTATATAAATCCTGTATGATAATAATAATAATACATAGTTGGCTCCTAGTACTGCTCCCCTTCCCTCTTTCCCAGCCTGAGCTCTGCTGTTCAGGGATTGGGAGAGGATTATATCAGGACACATTTGGGTACACTGCTTGCATTAAACATATAGCTGCACCAATTTATGTATGTAATACCTGCCTGGACGTCAGCTTTAAAACAATTTTATTCCACTCTACAAAGACTTTGGTGAATTATTTGTTTTTTTCTATTTTTTATTTTTGTGTTTTTTTATTTGACTTTGATTGTTTGAATAATAAATGTTTTTTAAAGCTTCAGTATAAGATAACACAATAGTGGTAGAGAAGTCACAGAATAAGATGTCCACATTTAGGTAATAGGGCGCTGGTGTGAGTACAATGATTGTGTCATAAGTGAAAATACTTCAGCATAATACATTAGAGTTAGTAGATATAAACAAGAAGCAAAAAAAGTTTATCCCAACAAACTGTATATGGGCCACGTTGATACAAAGAGATAGTGAAGGGAAAAAATGTGGAAAAAAAAAAGAAAATTTAAAAGACAAGATAAGGGAAAAAAGAGGTACAAATGGGGACACTCATCGTGAAATGGAGTATTGTAGAAGTCTCAGTTGGTCATGAATATTGGGTAGAGGCCATTGGTTCAGAAAGACTACGGATAGAGCAAGGTTTCTCGACCAGGGTCCCATGGAACCCAAGGGTTCTTCTAGAGGTTGCCATGGGTTCCTTGAGCAATGAGCAATTTCTGCCTCTCAGATAGGTTCCTACTGACACCGCTGATCTTTTTAGCGATCTGTAAGGGGGTAACTCCTCCAATGACATCAAGTGTAAGGAACATTCTTCCCACTAACCATCACACTAATGTATCAGGAGTTGTAGATATAGTATTTTTTAGGAGGGGTTCCCTGAGATCGGAAAATTACTTCAAGGGTTCCTCTGCTTTGAAAAGGTTGAGAAAGGCTGTGACAGAGTATCCAGGGGTGAGAAGTCTCAGGTAATTGATGATATCTGTCCTATAGTTGTGCCATCAATTCCTCAATTCGTATCATTAGGTTTAGTTCAACAATCCACTCAAGAATGGTAGTTGGGGTTGCTGGTTTCTGGTGTCTGGATGGTGTTCTGGGTGACAGCTCTAGCGGCTACAAGGCAGAACTGCAAAATACCTTTTTTCGCTGTGGATATGGAGCAAGGGATTGTGGAAATAAGGACTATCTGTCTGGGGGGTCTTTGGGACAGTTACTGAGGTCACTTTGATATAACTTTGATTATTTCATTCATCATTGACACTTTTCAAATAGTTGAAATGTAAAAATCTAAGTCAAAGAATGTACATGGGGTTGTGCAGGTTATTAATTTATTTTTTCTTTATAATAGTGAACAGACAATCATATAAAATATATGTTTTTCAAAAGAGAAGTATGTTTTGTTTTCTTTTAAATCGTACTTAGCTGTCCCCTGCTAGCTCTAAGGCTGAGAAGTGAGTGATCAAAGGCTGTTGATCGCTCAGTTCTCTCAGCCACTCTGAATAGAGAGCAGTGACTGTGAGTCACTGTTCTCTGCTCTGCCCCCCCCAGACTGTGCAGGGGGGCGGAAGTGGCTGGCTCAGGCTCTCAGCGGAGAGGCTGAGCCAGGTGCTGGTCCAGGCTTCTGTGTGGATCCCAACCATATGGTCACGATCTTTCCCCAGACTGGACCGGCTGAGTGACGTCAGCCAACAGCGAACATTAACCCGCTCTTAGCTGAAAATGGCTCACATGAGTGCAGAACGAACTGCACTCCTGTGATCCACAGGAGAACTACAGCCAAACGAGGTTTGGCTGTACTTCTCCTTTAAAGACTTACCATTAGAAAAAAATTTAGTTTATGTCGTTTTTTTTTTTTTTTTTTGTGGGCGGGGGGTGAAATTTTAAAGAAATATATATTTCTTTTTTCTCTATAGTCAAACGAGTATAACATTGCATAAGACACTTTTATTAATAGCCAGCAAGCAGATGCAGCATCAATCAGACTTTTTAAAAAAGTTTTTACTTATCAATTACGGGCCTTGCTGAAAAACTATTTGTTTACAGACCCCAATAGTCAAGATGAAATTTACACACAAATGTGAGTGCCCATTTACAATTTGTGCAGTGTATTAACATGTGTTACTCTACGTTAATGAGTGTTGCATTTTGGTAGCTAATTGAAATCAACGGGCTGCCAGAGCACCAAAATGTCCCACAAATCAGACATATCACCACATTTTTAATGCAATGCATTATGGTGCCACCATGCTTTGTAGCATGCTGAGTGCCTTAGCATATTGGGGTGCCATTAAAAATGAATTTTGGCCAGCGGCAACCATCACCAAAAGACATTAGTGAGTACAGACGGTGTGACAGATCCTAGAGACTGTGGGCTGGCACTACCCATCTGGTGCTAGAAAGCCAGCTGTGTGTGCAAAGGGGATACAGGCTGGTGTCCTGAGGGGCTCAATCCATCTAGTTCTTTGTGAAGGGACTCTGTTCAAGTTGCTTAAAGAAGTAAGCTTTTGTGCCTTTAACTGCTTCTACAAAGCCAAGTCCACTGCCCTGCTTTTACAAGGACTATGCTTGCAGTTATACTGAAAGAAGTTTAGAGTTCTCAACTTGTACCTAGTTCTTTTTGGAGTATTCCAGCATCCCCATCCCTATCCAAGTTACCCAAAAATAAAAACACCAAAAAAAACTTCCCTATACTGTTCAATGAGCCAAAAGAGTGACTGTATGCCTGGCTGCAGGGCAAATTTGGGGAAAGACCTCAGGGACATTTAAAACTGCTGGTCTCACTACATGTAGATAAATGGAAAAGATGTTTACAAACTTATTAAAAAAAATAAATATTACAAACTAAAAAAATGATCCAAACCATAATAACCCTATGTTGTCATATTTCTACCCTTCCCAGCAGTATCAGACAACCCTACGTTGTTACATTTCTACCCTTCCCAGCAGTACCAGACAACCCTATGTTGTCACATTTCTGCCCTTCCCAGTAGTACCAGACAACCCCTTGCTGTCACATTTCAAATGACTGTAATTTACCACTGGATGAAAAAGTGCACACAAAATAATAAATCACACATCAGCATGTTTGAATATAACAAAACAAAAACTTATTTATAACACACATTGAAGCACCCAATTGTTCTGCAATGAACACTCATTTTTCCCATTTATGGGCATTTTAGGAGTGACAAAACTTTAATGAGAACCAGCCATGGACAATAACCCTATAATAATCGTACCTGCGGCAGCTTTCTCCACATAGTGGAGCTCATTGTAGAACAGAGCGACTTGCGAGTACTTATCCCGTACAACATTAGATATATAGTGCAACAATGTCTGTTTTCTGTCCGTTGACTTGGTGTCCAGAAGCTGTACAAAATAAAACAGATATGATTACAATGCATCTAAAACATTTTAAACACAAATATTTTTAAGTAGATATGAACTATCTTATAGTTTGTAAACAAATGCCATTTTTTTTTTTCATAAAACACTTTTCACCCTTTTCCATTCTGTTTTGCATCTCAGTTCTGCTAATGTACTCAAGCCTCGTCCAGCCACTTTCTTTCTACATGAACTCATTCCAGGCATTGATTGCCAGTAATTGCTCTGGACTGACTTCCTGATAGTGAAAACTGTGAACTATGCCTAACCAGTGTGCACCAGTAGAAATGTGTTTTGCTCCCTTTAGGGGTGCATGTACAGGTTAGCAGTGCAGGAGAAAAACTGATACAGGGAGGCAGCACTGTCACCCCACAATAGGATATTCCTGATCAGGAACCTTTATGTCAGGACCGACAAGTATATTGGAGTGAAATTTGTTGAAGCCCCTACTACGCTCCTCACTGTTCTCTTTACTGCAAAGAAAGAAGTATCTGAGGACCTGCAGTGCAATGATCTACCTGTTTCGGCCTCATTAATTATTTGCAGCTGTGTTTTCTGCACCCCCCAATCCCCCGCTGCTGCTTAATTACTTTTTTATCAGTTATCTGATCACCAGTTATCAGGGGAGCAGCAGTGACATGAGGAAGCAATTTCCAGCTTCTATCAAAACAGTCATGGGGAAACACATTGGCTACAGGGAGACCACAGGTAATGCAAATGACTATTCCTTTGTCCCTTTATCTGCATATTTTAAAGCACAGTAAATCCAAAATTCTGAAGCGCAAGAGGAGGCCCAGTACTGTAAGGATCACAGTAAATGGTGCATTACCCAGGAGAGTTGCCACTGCTGCTGTTACCAGACAGATTAATCCAGAAGCTCCACAGAAAAAACAGCGCTCCGGTGGTAGTAATATAAAAACCTCACTAGGGGGAGTACCTTTATTGGAATAAGCAATGGGACATAACACACTTAAGCCTGTGGCTTGGCGGAAGTGCCTGGGTCAGGTGGACGGCCCGTCCGCTCGGGGATGATCCATTCATCACCACTGTACATCATCCCAGTGCGGACAGGCCATCCACCTGACCCAGGCACTTCCGCCAAGCCACAGGCTTAAGTGTGTTATGTCCCATTGCTTATTCCAATAAAGGTACTCCCCCTAGTGGGCTTTTTATATTACTACCACCTCAGCGATATTTTAAAGCACAGCTTTCACAGTTTTAGTCATCTTTAAAGTGGTTTTTAAACCCAAACACATACCCACTAAAGTGACAAGCCTCAGGTGATACACAGAGATGAAACAAATTTGTACCTTTTTATCTGCAGTCCCCGCTCATCTACAGATTTCTCAAACACACAGATCAAAGGCTAATTCTCAGCTCCAGCAGGCAGAGGGTGGGGATGTGACATCACACACTACACAGCATAGAGCAAGGAGGTGAGTGTAATCTGAGTTCTGGGTGGAGGAAATGGACACACCCCCTCTACACAGTTTCATAGGGAAACAAGCATGGCTGACGCTGTCAATGACCTTTCCCTAGATTCTGTGGTGTTGGCATAACCTGTCAGAAGTGATTCATGCAAACTCAAGAGGAATGACAGTGCAGACATAAATCAACCTAGGTGCTTTTGATTTAGGCTAATACACACTAAAAAAGTTAAACGCTCTGTTCATTTTTCATTTCGAAGTTTACAACCACTTTAAGATCACTTATAGTCTTTACCCTCTTGCTAGTTACACCGATGCTAATGTATAATCGGCCTACCTACTTACCAAATCTAAGCTTTGAAGTTTAAACCCATACACGGCTCCACGTTTACTGCTGTTCATGTAATTCCCAAGGGCCAAGATAATCTGCAAAAAAAGGAAACTATTTGTCATATTTCTGCTCAGCTCAAAGTAGGTTGACACATAATGTTACTGGTCATATGTCTTACACACCTCTAGTATTTTCTTTAGCTTCTGAGAAGACTTAATGGAGACTGAGGCAGCTATTATTGCATGAAGTTGCTAAGATAAACAAAACAAAATGGCAATTCAGTCAAAAATATAATTTTTAAATGCAAAATGTGATAACTAAATTGATAACTCATAAAAACTGATGCAGGACAATGGGGAGCAGTGACTATATGACCTTATTTTAAAACAGTAGGATACTAGATATAGTCAGGACTTCAATGATTCAAGGTTAGAAAAACCTGACTCTATACCGGTGTTAGCATCTGGATGCTTTCAGAGAAGTTTCCAATAAATGCCATGATGGTCATCTTTTGCATTAGTCGCTCTATCTTGCTGAACTGCATCATAAAGCGATCCTCATCTGACAAGTTCTCCACGGGCTTTTTCTCCCGCTCATAAGTCCGTAAGACCTTCACCTCTGCCTCTGTGGGCATGAACCTCATCAAACATTCCACAAAGTCCACAGGAAGCGTTTTCAGGTCAAACCTAAGTGGGAAGTCAACAAATGAGTAAGATATAAAGAAAAATAATGAGAATAGAGATAGTGATTGCATTAATATATTAAAGCACAGTTATACTCAAAATGCAATAATTTCCCATTTAGTCGTAGAAATAAAATACCTGTAAGTGTAAAAACTGCATTTACCAAATAGGGTTTCCTTTATTCAAAAGTGCCTGGTGATTCTGTCAGCCTTCTTGTCTTCCTTTTGGAAGGTGACAATGCTGCAAGGCTTGCATAGAATTCAATGCAGTGTTGTCACCTTCAGCGGCCATATAGGGCTACTTCACTGCGTCTGCTGATGAGGAGAATTTTCAGCATAGTCACTGCTGATTAGCCTCCCTCTCCCTGCCAATAAGCACATGATGCATGATCCAAGAAGGCACCCTGCAGCATGTAGAGGAAATGATGCAAGGCGTCCCCTTGGATCTTGGCTCTGAAAAATTGAAGACATTGGCAGCAAAGAAGACAAGTTTGTGCCACTTAGTGAAAAAAATATGAGCTTTGCTTTTCCAAGGGGGGCAGGAGGAGGGAGTGAAATGTTAAAAATATTTTGTATGGAGACTGTTATCTTTTATTATGAATGACATAAACATCTCTTCCCCAAGGAGGCCAGAACTCTCTGTCCCTGAAACCTGTAATCTATTTTCCTTTTGACTGTAAACAGAGAGAGAGAGAGACCCTCACCATTTGTTTGTCTGCTAAGTGATTTTAATTCTTCTATTTGTATTACTTGAAGCTAAATACCCTGCACAATATAATTAGTACAATTTAAAGGGCAACTCCACTTTTGTTGTGGAAAAATCCATTTTCCTCTGGGTGATCTATGTACATTGCAAGGATGTAAACAACCTTTGTTGCAGATTCCAATATTTTGTTATTTTGAAGAAATAGCTGTTTGTCCGTGTCCATGTGCATAATGAATAGGAATGGGAATGATTTTATATTCATCACGCAGCTATTTTATAACCAGGGGCGGACTGACCATTTGGAAACTCGGGCACTGCAGTAGTAGGGGGCCCCATGAGATGCCCCTGGTACTTTTTTCATAAGCTTTTTGAGTTTGGGCAAGGACACAGGGGCCCCATGATCCCCAATTACCCGGGGGCCCCATGAGTTGTCAGTCCACCCCTGTTTAGAACTATATTATAACTATCAATCAGCTACTGCTTTTTCTACTTTTAGATATGATTTACCATTGGGAGTATCTCACCAAAAGGATGTTTTAGTTGCAGAGGAAGCCCAAAATATGACATTTATTTGCATATGTGCAACTCTGGGAAAATCAGTGAGCCAATCACACACGCAGGAAATGACTGTTCTGGGGGAGTTCTGTACACCATTTGTGTACAGAACGCCTCCAGGTTGCCATATTGCATTGCATTTTACAAAAAAAATGACAGTGGTGCAAATTGAAAAGGAACTGTAGTTTTTAATAATATTTGATTACAATATGACTTTTGTCACATATGGGGTTTTTTTTTTTGCCCTTTAAATAACGCAAGTAATAATAATCATAATTTTCAGGGAAACAAAATGGCTGTTCTTGTGCTCAGACTAAATTTACAATAATGGCATGTATATATTTTTTATGAAAGATTTGTAAGTGATTCATTAAAAATTTCCACTATCCTCCCAACTCTGTTCCAATACATTTATTCACCGTTGCTGTGAAACATTAAGAACCCAGACACCTAACAGCATATAGTGGCAAAGATCTCTGCAGAAGAGACAGGGGAGATTTACTAAAATTTGTGCACTCAGAATCTGGTGCAGCTGTGCATGGTAGCCAATCAGCTTCAATCTTCAGCTTGTTCATTTAAGCTTTGACAATAAAACCTGGAAGCTGATTGGTTTCTATGCAGAGCTGCACCAGATTTTGCACCATGCAGTTGTAATTAATAACCCCCCACCGTGTCTAGAAAGATCTGGAAATGTCTTATCAGTAGGATCCAGAATCTCTTCCTTTTTGATAACCAAGGGAAAGGCCACATGATGATAACGTTGCCACTGCTACACCAAATCTTCAACTACACTGCTAGAACATTTACCATTCCCTAGCCCATCCCTCTCCCTCCTTGCACATTATAGCCCCTTCCTCTTTTGGAAGTGTCTAATTACTCTCTGTGCTGGCCCAGGTCCTCTACCCCTCTCTTCACCTCCCTGGATATTCTTTTATGTAGCTGCCAGGGGAGGAGTGAAGGGAAATACTATAGAGTGTCACTTGAGTGACTAGTTTAGTGATTTGGTCTCTTTAATGAGTATTTGTAAAATTTGAAACTTTTACTTATTTATTTCTTCTCCTTTAATAAATCTATAATAAGTCTCTGGTCATTCCAGTGCTGGAAATCGTGATGTAAGGAGCACCTTTACACAAATAACACTCATATGCTCAGGGGACAGGTCATCAGAACCTGGAAAAACACTGTGCTGAGTCAATTACATAACAAGATCTGCAGTAATCTCCTAATCTGCAGTATCTGTATTCCCAGAACTTCATGACTTACTGCTGAATGGCTCGGCAAATTTCCTCTGCTGTCTTGCCTGCTTTCCTCAAGGTTATTGCCAGGTTCTTGGCTCTGTTGGCGTCTAACAATGTCACCTTGTTGGAACCTTTAGGCGCCACTTTCTGCTTGCTGGAGGTGATGTCAACAGACGGGCCCTGGGCCTTTGTCTTAAAAATTTCCTCAAATTCATCAACGTTTAAATCCTACAAAAAGAAATGATGGATATACATTATAATTACAATTTATACTACCGTATGTTGTTTTTCTAACTATAAGGAAAAATGTTGTAGCAAACAGAAGATGATGGATTAGGTAATTTGAAACAATTTCTACTGCTTTCCCCATTCCTGGGTCAACAAAGACTAGATTTGCACATTTCGTTTCTGGAATCCCTTTGTCCTGGCAACAAAAGATGTTCTGGGAAAGAATCATACTGATATAAGGAACTCACAGACCAGCAATTAGACTTTAGGGCCAGTTCACACCACATGTAGTCCACTGCGGTCAGTTCCAGGGTGTTCCATTTCCATAAAAGAAAAGTAGAACATGCTGCATTTTTCCTACACTGGACTGTACTGGAAAGCAGTAAAACGCATCAGAAATGCACTGGACCCCAGTACTGTGAGAAACAAAGGAGAAAGAATGCATCCGTAAACACAAAAAAGCAACAAAAAAACGCGTTAAAAATGTGCATGCAGAAACACAACAAAACCGATCTTCATCTATCATGAATGCTGCTGCCAGACTCATCCACCTTACCAACCGTTCCATATCTGCCATCCCTCTCTGCCAATCCCTCCACTGGCTTATCACTGCACAATGAATAAAATTCAAAACATTAACAATATATAAAGCCATTTATAACTCTGCCCCAAATTACATCACCAATCTTGTCTCCAAATATCACCCAAACCGTCCTTTCCACTCCTCCCACAACCTCCTGCTCTCTAGCTCCCTTGTCTCCTCCTCCCATGCTTTTCTCCAGGACATCTCCAGAGCTTCCCCATCCTCTGGAACGCTCTACCCCAATCTATTCGACTATCACCTACTCTGCCCACTTTCAGGCGATCTCTGAAAATCTATCTCTTCAGGGAAGCCTATCCTGCCTTCAGCTAATAAACAAATCTTCTATTTCTCCTATCAGTTCAACCCCCACAGTTATTACCTTTTGTACCACCAGCCCCTCCCTTTTAGATTGTAAACTCCAAGGAGCAGGGTCCTCCTAACCCTCTTGTATTGCACTGTATCGTTGCTCTGTTGTCTCCCTTTATATTGTAAAGTGTTGACCCAACTGTTGGCGTTATATAAATCCTGTATAATAATAATAATAATATGGAGTGCGTTTTTGTGGTGTGAACCAGCCCTTATATGTTGTTAGCTAAGCAGTGGCTTCACATAGACTTGGGAAACTTGAGATGACTGAAATCTAAGGCCTCATGCACACTGGAAATGTTGCTATCTCTCCTGGACAGCTTTCCTCCTGGCAGCAACATTTTGTCAGAAAAAAAATACTTGTAAATGCATGTAACGCATTTAGGCTAGTGTAGCCACATCAAGTGTTTGGGTGTGAATTCATTTCAGTGGCCAGAATAATAATTTATTCTGGCCATTGCAAAGCTTAAGAGCTAAACATGTCTAGCATTAACGTGCATTTACATGTGCCAAGCATTTTTTTTTTTCCAAAAACGCTGCTGTTCCTGGACACGCTAACAAGTGTTTTTTCTTTTTCCTCGCCTTTAAGCGCCCCTGCCTCTAAATTCCTATGTGTGCATGGACACCTAGGCTAACATGCAGGGGCATTTAGAGGCAGAAAAAAAAATAAAAAATGCCTGACACGCCTAGGAGCAGCAAAAAAAAATCTTCCAGCATGCATGAGGCCTATGAATGGCCACAATCTAAAAAAGACTGGGCTCGGGCTATTACCCGTTTTCTCAGAGGTGATATAGTACGTCCCTTTTTTTTCACACACATCTGCCATTCATACCTCCAGTATCCTTTCATCGTCAATTTCATTGAAGACTGTGCCATTGATCTGGTTGGGTTTTAGAGCCACCCAGTTGAATACTGGCATCCTGAACTTTGTCTTGATGGGCTTCTTAATTTTCACAGCTGAGCATGAAAAACAGTAAACAGGGATATACTTTCATCTTCAAACTGAATCACAAAATAAACAAACATTGAACATGCACAAATGATACAATAAACACGTGCGTTTGTGCAACCAAGGATCACAAAGAAAAGTGATAGTGACTTTTGGCAGTGTATTAAACAGATAATAAACCCCAGGTTTTCACAAGGATATAAAAATGTCCATAATGCAAAGTACTTTCCATAAACAGACAACAGTTTGTTTATAAACTTGACAGCAGTCCCTGATGTGCATGTGCTGTGACAGTCCTGTTTTGGGGTTTTTTTTTTTTTTTGAAGGGACAGGTTTTAGACCAAAATTTGGTAACTTTGCATATGCTAAGTGGCAGATTTGGTTGTTATATGGACAGCTTGAGAAAGGTTAAAAACTGTCCTTAACATTTACTCGGGACTGTTGTCATGTATATACTTCTTGCTTAAAAATAAACAATAATGCAATGGACAGTTTCTAAAAGAACAATGGAAAAACCTACAGAACAGCTTGATCGGTCCATCTTAAGAGGAAGCACAAAAGCAAGAGGAGAAATTAGTGTTACACATTACAGCGTATAACAGGCAAAATGAAAAACCTCAGGACACAAGTAAATTCTAGATAAAATGATAAGATAAATGATCAGAACGGGCAAATTATAAATTACTGAAATCTGCTACTCTTTTAAACTGGATCTGGTATTAAAATGTATATTCCTAATGAAGTATATGTCTGCCTAGCCAAATACTTGTTATTACCAAACATGCAGGTTATAATGATGTGCAATTGAAGATATATAAAAAAAAATAACTTCATTAAACCACTTATTAAAACAAGAGGTTCTGCTATTTCCATCACAATTTTAAAAAATATCCTTTTTTATATATGTAAGCTCCAAGGAGCAGGGCCTCCTATCCCTCTTGTATTGAATTGTATTGTTGCTGTATTGTCTCCCATTATATTGTAAAGTGCTGAGCAAACTGTTGGCACTATATAAATCTTGTATAATAATAATATATGTGATGGCAGTGATGACATATAAACACCTTTTTTTTAAGCTGGGTATACACATACTGAAAGTTGGCCGGTTCAGCGGGAATTATTCAGATGTCAGTATATGTATACCGCTGTTTGTTCAACAGAAGCTTCTTCTGTTGAACAGTCATGCTGGAAAACCAACATTCGATCAGTGCTTGCAGTGATAGTTTCACTGATCTGTGTATTCTGATGTGTGTGTGTGGGGAGGTTACAGTGGGAGAGAACAAACTGGTTACAAAAAAAAAAAAAATTGGCCTGTATACCCTGCTTTAAGTAAGCTTTACTGTGCTTTGAATGGGGAAGTAGTCTTTGGATACCAGGAGCAATGTGCATGCTTCATGTCATTTGTGACTGCACTTTATTTTACTGCAGCGAGATAATGGCATTGGAAATGCACAACAAGTAAGCCGACTGCAAATGTAGTGAAGATATATGCAGGACTGTGTTGGATGCCGTTTTTGAAACCCCCATGCTCACCCACCCTGATCCACCCCCAGGAGAGTGGCTGGGTAGGAAGGCTCAGTAACGCTGAGCCTGTCATTTTACCAGATTCAGCGGTACTGATAAGTTCTGCAACTGGATCGTCTATGTGGACACTCTGACCTCAGTGCTGCCCCTCCTTGAGTGCCTTATGAGGAAACGGACTCAACTTTTCCCATGGTAGGAACACCCTGGATATATGCCTTCTGCCTTGTATATAGTATAATTGAACCTTTAAATGTATATACTGTAAGCCCTAACAAATAACATCCTCTGTTTGCTACCTTTTGGTCTGTTAATTATTTAATTAAGCGTTTTGAAATACTTGTTCAAAAAGGGAAACCAATACCAGTTTATCTTGTCAGAAATCTTGTGAGCCATTAACGTCCTGTGCTTTCTGCCTCTGCTGCAATCTTATCAGTTACTGTTCCCAGCTATCACTGTGGACTACACAACACCTCCCCCATAATGTAAGCAGATGATGGGAGGGGGAGTGTTCTGTAGTCCTAAAAAAATGTCTATTCTTTGGTAACAACGTTTCTCCAGTACAGGCCACCCTAAGACAGGTAGATGTTTCATGAAAAAGAGTCAAGAAAAGGGGTAGATATTTTCCAGGTTACTGCCTAAGCACAATTACCATTCTAAGGTGTTCCCTATACATTGCAGATATTCATTTTTTATTTTATTTTGGGTCCACTATAATTTATTTGGTAGTGCTAAACAAAAATCACAAAAAATATCACCAGATACTTTCTGGTTGTCCACACTATCAGATACTGTGCTAAATAGGAGCTAGCATTATACTTCTAGGCACTTGGAGGTTAACCAGACATGTTACAGTGATCACAGAGGTCAGAAATGTTCTGACTTATTTCCCATACATACTGCATCACCGTATGTAAAGGGTAATAAAATGGAGTCATTTTATACAGGAGAAATCTATACTGCACAGTATTTCCTGTTCCCATCATTGCAATATAACACTTCCTCAGATCTGTTTTAGGCCACACGTTATGTCCTTTCTTGGAAAGTAATTATATTTAGGGGAATATTTATCAAGGAGCAAAAGATCCCAATGCAGGACAGGTTTCCCTTGGGCAACTCTGCCCTGGTGAACCTCAACACTTCCAATGGGCATTTGTCAACTGGAAATTAGAAAGTAATCACCTTATCAGAGGATTAGGAAAGGAGAGAGAGGAGCGCACACCCCATAGTGTAGCATGCATAAGGACATTTAAAGTGGTAGTAAATCTAAAAAAAACAAACCAATCAACAACAAAAACCAGCATATTATGAAAGTCTTACCTAAGAACGAAGCCCTCCAGCGATGCGCTGTCACTGCTGCAGAGGCTTCCATCTTCATTTTCCTACTTGACTGGCTTAAGCCTTGATGACGTCACTCCCGCACATGAATGCAAGAGCTATGGCCATGGTACACAGTTCTAAAGGAATGGCACGGGTATGCCGTTCATTTAGAGTGCATACGCTGGTGATGTCACCAACTGCCACTCACTATAATATCTTCTAAACGGTGCATATTTAGGAGATATCATTTTACCAAGAGGTAAGCTTTATTCTAAGTAAAAGTATAAAAAATTACTTTAGCACCACTTTAATGGACAAAAAAAAACAACAAAATTTGCACTCAAACAACTGTGGGGTTTGGAAGCTTGTCAGGTGGCTTGGAGGATAAGTCCAGAATTAATGTATGAGTTATCCCAGATCTCCGCCTTGGCCACTGGCTGGAGAAAGCATAGGCTGGAGTGGAAATTATACTGCTGACAGAGATGGCTGGAGCTGCTGCAAGGCCTTGAGTCCAAGAGCCAAAGGCTTCCCGTTGTCACCGCTGTGTACCCCAAAATCCTGCTTCTTTATCAACCTGTTCCCTGCTGAACCAGCTGAGATTCAATCCATATATGGCCAAGGTGGTTTTACTGAAGTTGATCCACTGATTGACTTCAGTACAACTAGCCTGTTGGAATTTTTGCATGCAATTACAGTAATCATTGTGTTCTGCTGGCAGGGAAGGCTCCATGCTGGGAGAACACAATAGCACTGCAGGAGTCATTCCCCTATCAACACTGACTGTGTTGATGGAGAAATCGAGCAATTTTCTGAAGTGAATCATCTATAGCTTACTTACTCCACATTTATTTTCACGTCATTTTGTCTTTTTTGCTAGGATTGCTTTTTAAATAAACATTTACTGCATCTGAAGCAAAAATTAAGACATTAACATGCACTAATCTTTTCATGTAATGTAACTTACACATAATGGACTCTGGTATAGCTTACACTGCTAATAATGTCAAAAAAGAACAATCCTGCCTTTTACTGTGCTGGATTTATAGCATTCAGAATAAAACGAGAAGGAAAGTTTTCCAGATCAGTGATCAATAAAGCTCATGACAACTCTCAAGTCTCATATACAGTAAATCTACGTATGTAATGCTATTCTTTCCCTCATACATGTCTATGTGATTTTTCCTATTGTATATGTCTAGTGCCCTTAAAAAGCAGTACCTAGAACTCTCTTGAGTAGCTTAAAGCGGAGTTCCACCCAAAAGTGGAAGCTCCGCTTTTCTTCCTCCTCCTCCACTCTGCTGCCACATTAGGTACCTTTCGGGGGGAGCGGGTACTAAGTTTTAACAGGTACCCGCTCCCACTTCTGGCTCAGTTTGCAACGCCGAACTGAGCAGGAAGTTTGGCCAGAGGACTGCGGCCCCCATTCATAAAGAGCAGTGCACTTCAAACATGCGCAACAGGAAACCAGCGGTGAAGCAGCATCAGCATCTGACAGCCGATTGAAGAATCGGCTCGGGGTGAGGACACCGCTGGATCCCTGAACAGGTAAGTGACCCTAATATTAAGCAGTATTTGTAGCTGCTGAGTTTTAATTTTTGGGGGGGACCAGAACTCCGCTTTGAAGCATAGCAAAACATGGTCCCTACAAATACTGATCTTAGGCAGGCCATAGATTATGCAATTGCTCGATTCCCCCATCAACACAGTCAGGGTTGATGGGGAATCCCTCCCTGAGTGCTACTGTGTCCTGCCAGTGGGGAGCTTTCCCTACCAGCAGAACACAATGTGTTGCTCACTATAGCCAGTGGCACTAATTGTTCGGAAAAAAAAAGCCAACCGCCAGGTTGTACACAAGTCAATTGATAGATCGACTAGTGTATAACCAGGCTGCCCATACATGAATCAAAATTTGTCCGGTTCTTCCGATCGACTTTTGATCCATGTATGGCCAGCTTTAGCAAGAAGAAAAGCCTGCATATGTATTGTAATGAGCAAATATGCAATCATACACATACCTAATTACAAACTTTACACAGAAAACATGTTTTTAATACATTACCAAACACTAATATTATGATTAATGTTAGTGTAAGAGGTGATCTGCTGCTTAGCATATCTAAAAACAATAAGAAGCTAATGTTTATTTTCATTTTAATTCAATGGGATTTAAAAATTACAGCCAACGTAAACAGGCAAGCTTTCAGGATCTGTATGTCCCTTCCTCATACAATATACAACTCACATATTGCATAATGCCAAAGGATTTGTAACACTTCTTCCATACAGCATAGCCTGGTCTATGACCTCCACTACAGCTAGAACACTATAGCGGGACACAGACATACCCTCATCTTGCTGATTGGACAATTAAGGAGAAAAAGCATACTGAAGAGGACATCCTTCTCGCCTCCTCTCAGTATATTCCTTGTGCATTGCTGCAGAGCCTGATTGGCTCCAAGTGCTGCCCCTCTTTCTCCCGGTTTCTTTGCTGAACATTACAGGAACTGATTATGAATATTAGTTTCAAATACTCACACTAGTCGCATTTAAATTATTTTTTTCATGAACACATTAACTGCGTTAATTAGGATTTTTATACTGCAACTGCCTGGAGTTCAGGTTTAAACAGCAAAAATGAAATTGGGGATTTTTGCTTCCTACATTTCATTACAATTGGTAAGTCTAATGCCTCCTATCCATATTTATGAAAGCAAGCTGCACCAGTACGAGGCTATATGTCCGCTCGTATCCCTTGATGATACAAATAAGCTGACTCACAGCCGTATATTTCCTGCGAGGCTTGGAGCTAAACTGATCAGCCCACAAAAAAACCTCACTACATGGAAAAAATGATGTTCACTAATGCACAAAGGAAGATGTGTGCTGCTTGATCTGTACATTAGTCAATATTAATAGTAACAGCTGCAGGAATAAACAAGCTTTAGCTCTCTATTAGACTTTCAGGTACAAATCTTGTAGGCATGGGTCAGCACAACTGATATCTCCTTGAGACGGTCCACAAAGCTCCAGAACCCACTAAAGCTCCCTCCTAACAGTGACGCTGGTACGTATATGGTACTTTTCCCTTCACTGTTCTGCACTAAAGAATGATGGTTCTCATAGACTGAATTTCTAACAACGAGGAATATCTCCCTGTACAATAAAAAGCATCTCCAAATGGTGCAAATATTACAAGTGATGCTAGGAATCTTTTTATCAGTCCATTTATAGGCATCATAAATGTATACGATTTTAAAGTCCTTAAAGCAAATGCTGTTGCTGCAAGGGGTCTGCTGTGGTATTATTGTGCGCAAAACTATATAGATTATGGCAGCTGATAAGGCAAGGATAAGGTACAGCTGAACTCCAAGCAGTGACCTGACTTTTCGAAACTTCAGTTAAAGTGACACTAAAGTTTCCTTTTTTTTTTTTTAATAACAACTCAGGGGTTGATTTACTAAAGGCAAACAGACTGTGCACTTTGCAAAGTGCAATTGTACTCTGCAAGGGCAGTTGCTCCAGAGCTTAGTAAATGAGGTAAAGCTTCCTTTTGCCAAGAATACCCAATCACATACAAGGAAAATAAAAAAGCATTTTTGCATGCACATGATTGGATGATGGAATTCAGCACAGCTTCTGCTCATTTACTAAGCAACTGCACTTGCAGAGTGCTCAGTTAATATGCCTTTATTAAATCAACACCTATGTCTATACTTATCTGCTCTGTGCAGTGGTTTTGCACAGAGCAGCCCAGGTCCTCTTCTTTTTGGGTTCCCGCCAGCACTTCTGGCTCCTCCCCCTTGAACAGTGCCCACAGGGAAAGATGTTTGCCCTGGTGGCACCACTGTGTGCTCATCCCCGAGCAGTTGGTTTATGTGTCCATAAGACACATAGATCTGTGGCTTGGCCCACCCCCTGCTCTCTCCTCATTGGCTCACTGGCTGTGAGTGACAGCTTCCACTGTTGTCTCAGCCAATGAGGAGGAAGAGTCCAAAAACAGCAGAGGCTGTCGAGTACGTTGCTCGATGGAAGGGGTTCAGCTAAGGTTTGAGGGAAGCCTGAGGGAGCCACTGCACACAAAAATGGTTTTTTACCTTCATGCATAAAATACATGAAGGTAAAAAAACCTTGAGCCTTTAGAATCACTTTAAGTAATGAACCTCCCCAGCCTGTACTTGGACAATGAAGATGCATAGGTAGACTGAAGAGCTCTGCTTACGCTACTCTCTCAAATCCGCTTGTCCCATGTCAGCACATGTCCATGCAGAAAACCCGATTGGCTTCCCTTGCTGGCCCAGCCTCTGACAGTTACATTACATGAGACTGGCACGTTTTCAAGTACTTACATTAGTTTTATTATTATTATTAAGTGCCATCAACTCGGGTCCAGGTCCTAGTGACTTGATGAATAAGAGTTCTAAAAAGAAGTTGGCTTTTTGCTAGTCTGGCGAGATCCTCCAGTGTCATCCCCAGAGCTGTAGTCAGTATGTCCATCCACCTAGTAGTTGGTCTCCCTCTTCGCCCGGTTTCTTCGATCTTCCCAAACATTATTTCCTTCTCCAGTGATCTCTCCTTTCTAACAGTTTGACCAAAGTATGACAGTAGCAACTTCATCATTGGGGCTTCTAGTGACATAGCCAATTTGATCTCTTCCAAAATCGATCTATTAGTTCTATGGGCTGTCCACAGTACACATAAAATTATTCTCCAGCACCAAAACTCAAATGAGTCGATCTTCTTTCTATTGTGTTTTTAAATGTCTGCCTGGAATTCAGCTATATGTGTTGGGGCTGTGAGGGGGTGGTTAAAAGTCGAACTGAAGGCAAAACTTTTTGCTCATTATGAATAGAGTAACTGAAGGTTATAACCCTTCCAGGTTTTTGCTATCTATGTTCCATTGGGGAGATTTTCCTTCATGTAATGTTCCAACCTTCACAATAGGAAGTGAGAGGAAATCCATGCAAAGTGAGGGAAATCCTTGGTACTCATCAGGGTCAGCAGACCTTGTGTCCCCACTGGATGATTTCCCCTCTATTTTTGTTCCAGTGACCACAAAAAATGTTGGATTTACTTTCAATTTCCGTAACAACAACCACCAGGAAAAAAAGGAGGGTGAATCTTCCTAATGGGGACACAGACAGCAATGATAACCTGGAAGGTGCTCTAATACATCTCCACTATATTTAAAGAAACATGTTTAGCCTTCAGTTATAATTTTAATAATTATTTTAAAAGTTAGGCAGGCCATAGATGGTTCGATTTTCGACCGGTTCAGCACGGACAGGCTGAGATTTCATCTATGTATGGGCAGGCTGATTGTTACATAGTTATTTTGAAAAAAAAAAAAAAAGGGCATCTAGTTCAACCATTAAAAAAAAAGTTATAATCCTATACCCACAGTTGATCCAGAGGAAGGCAAAAAAAAAAAAAACCCCAGCAAAGCATGACTCAATTTGCTCCTGCAGGGGAAAAAAGTCCTTCCTTATCCTCCGACAGGCAATCTGATATTCCCTGGATCAACTTTACCAATAAATGTTACTATCCAGTTATATTCTGTGTATCTAGGAAAGAATCAAGCAAGCAAGCAATCTACTGAGATGGCCAAAACCAACTTTTGAGGGAGTCTATTCCACATTTTCACAGCTCTTACTGTGAAGAAACCTTTCCATATTTGGAGATAAAAGGATAAGTTCACCTTTTAGACAAAAATAATAAATGCAGAATTTTTGTAGGCAAAAAAAAAAGGAGCCTGGAAAGCATTGCACCAGCAATCAGTAGATCGATGATGCCATGCAGGTCTCCTGCAGGCCTGTCAGAATATCTGTTTGCCGTATGGGATGTTCAAGCAAGCAAATATTCTGACAGGAAGCTTCAATGAACTACCACAGGGCTCCACAGTGCTGTGGTAGTTCACTGAAAACTACAAACTGACAACCACTAAGGTTGTCGGGACTTGCAGTTAATTTATTCACAGACGTCCGTGAATGAATGATGCGGTCATGTGGGCAGAGCCCCGCATGGCCACGCTGTTTTCAAATTTTGACTGACTTGGGTACAATTGGCACATTAGACTTTTAGGATGCAATTATTGCCAGCGGCTATGGCCTAATAGTAAGTGTCTGAAAGGTGCTTGGGGAGATGATGAGTTTCTCATTTTAGTAGCACCAAAAGCACTGCACAGACAACTAATAGAACCAAGATCTCTACACCAGAATAAACTTTATTAGCATCCTATCTATACTGACTACATAAAATAACAACAATGGAAAACCTTCTTAGTAAAAAAAGATGGAGAAAAGTTTAATGTTACAATAGTGTCCTTCAGTAAAATGAATTTATCAGAAAGTCTGACTGTGTTACCTGCTAGTCCTGAGTTGAATATAACTGTGGGTGAGGCAGTTCCTGGAAGAGGAGGAGCTCCTGGTGGAGGAGGAGGTGGAGGAACTGGAGGCTCCGCAGTTGGCCCTGGTAGAGGAGGTGGTGGTGGGGGTGGAGGTGGAGGTGGTGGAGGAGGAGGTGGTGGTGGTGGTGCAGGTGGCATGGCTGCTGGTGTAGTACCAATTTCTGCTGTAGGGAAAAAAAACAACATTTTATAATGCAGAAATCAAGAACAATATTTCAGCTTTGTCTTGTACACAGGATTGTCTTGTTCTTGTGTTTGATGCATCAGAGTCAGCCCAGCCCACTAGAGAATCCACTAAATCTACTAGAGAAGCAAAGTGTATGATGCCCCAACATTTCATATCCTGTTTTCTTTGCATTGCTTTCTTTGTGTGTAATACCTGGTATTCCTGCCTGCTTTCCTATTTCAAACTGATCGTGCCAGGCCCATAAGCATATCTGTCCCAGCATGGTCAGTTTTCTCCTTTGCATTCTCCTTGAGAGCATAGCCTGCCTATAATCCAAGACTTCTGCTGACATAAATAGGAAAAAAGATCCGCACGACCACCACTGTGCTAAAATCTTCCTTTTTATTGAAAAAAAACACAAAAAAGTACATAAAAAATATAATAGGTTGAGGCGTTTTGGCTAAAAAGCCTTAGACATAACCCATCATGTACTATCAAAGACTTCTGCTGACACATCCCCCTGCGCAGCTAATCATTGGGAAGATTAGTGTACTGCTGTTTCTGCTGCCACACCCTCCTGCAGTCTCCACCTGCACTTCTCTAATAAAGAATTTATACATAGGGAAATAATCCGACACTGAATTGCAGGCAGACAACCATTTCTCCAAGAAGTAATGTTATTTCTGGATATGGTGCTCAAGCTATCCTTGGGTTTAAATCAAAGACCTCCTGAGGTTTACCAATCAGACATATTAACTTGCTGGTGATCTTACTCCTAAAATAAATACTAGTCAGTGACTCAAAGTAATAAATCTGGAAGATCTGCATGACAAACAGCTGGCTTTTTCAGAAGGCGAGTTCAGCTGACAGTGACAAGCAGAGCCGGGACAAGGAGTGGGCAGGAGGGACAGCTGTCCTGGGGGCATCTGGGGATTTGGAGGGTTGTGCTAGAAGGGGTGATTTGGAGGGGGGTTTGTACTAGGAGGGTGAATTTGTGTTAGGGGGAGAGATTGGGGGGAGGGGGGTCATGCTAGTAGAGATGACTGGGGGGATTTGTGCTAGGGTTGGGGGGAGGATTTAGTGAAAAAGAATTGGGGGAAGAATTAGTGCTAGGAGAGGGACTTGGGGGGGATTTTTGCTCAGAGGGGAAATTTGAGGGGTAGAGATGACAAGCTAAATGTTTTCTCATGACAGGTTTGCTTTAAGGTGAATCTGTAAGAACAAAAATATGAGGGATGGTATTCCTGACTTTTTTTTTTTTTTAGAGGTGCAGGCTCTGGGCCTGTCCTCTTGATCCTAAATGTACAATTTAGTAAGTTGCCAACCTGGAATAAGCATGCAGCAGGTGAAATCTGAACTCTGTCCTACATGCTTGTTCCAGGTTAGTGACTTACCATGTAGCAATTCTGGGACCAGAATGACAGCCCAGAAGGCAGCACCTGTAAAGTAAGTAGAACAGACAAGGCCTCTCAGACTTTTCTTATGTGTGCATTGATTCTCAAAATGTTTGAATGCCAAAAGGTTATCAGAACAGGTGGGGAACCAGTATTCAGAAGGGGGTCAGCATTAGTAGCCAGACAAGTACACTAGCCTACCCTGACCACAGCCGCAGGAGAATGCAAAATGCTGCAAAAACGTGTGTAAACACTGGTACCTAGAAAACTAAAGGCAAAACGTCTTTTTTAGTTTTGGATAGAGTGGAAAGGGATTAGAACACCTGTCAGTTTGTATTGCTGCGTGTGCCCCCATTATAGAGATAGATAGAGAGTCACTCCCTCTATTTGCCCTGTTTACTGTTATCATCAAAAGTGAGGGGTGGTTCACACCATAGAAACACAGTGCGGATACGTTCCAGATGCTAAACACTGAATGCTGGGCATTTTAGAAGACTTTTCTACAAATGTGTAAGGTACTTTGTTTACTTATACAAATATATTAGTGTCACGTTCCACTGATAAGTATATGAAAATTGTATGTAATCTGCAATCTTTCCAACATCAATGCAACTGTTCCAGAATTGAAGTGTCCATATTTCATCAGTGAATTCACACTCCTTTCAGTGATGTAGACAAACCGACTTGTGCTTGGTTCACCTTTCCTATATTAGTGTGACAACCGTGCGTGCACCTTCACCAGTTGTGTTCTCACCTGGTAAATGTGACCAAACCGTTAAGTGAGGTCATATATAACTTGTGTCCCTTATGTGGACTGTGGCTGGATGGGATTGTTATCCTGCAGAGTTTGAGATCCCCTCACTTTCTTCAAGATCTTCCTCCAGTTGTCCATGTACCATATAATTAACATATAGTATTGCACTCACATGTACATGCTGCAAACATTGCTGTAAAATTGCTCCAAATGCTTGCTAGCAATCCAATATAGTGTACTTGTTTTTATTTTTGGTCATATTTATCAGGTGAGAACACAACAGGTGAGAAACACAACCGGTGAAGGAGCACGCATGGTTGTCACACTAATATAGCAGAGGTGAACCATGCATAAGTCGGTTTGTCTATCTATCACTGAAAGGAGTGTGAATTCAAGGGTGAAATATGGACACAAATTCTGGAACAGTTGCATTGATTTAGGAAAGACTTTTAAGACAGCAGATTATATACAATTTTCATATACTTATCAGTGGAGGGCGACTCTAGCATATTTGTTGGTATAATGATGACACATTTCATGGGTATGTGTGATGTGTATGCAGTCTACTGTTTTAATATAATTTTTCACATAAGTTTGACACTATTTTTAGGCACTACAGCAGCTCACAAGACTTTATTTAATATTTTTACTTTGTTTACTTACCTTCCCCAGACTCTGCAGACGAAGGAGGGAGAGGTGCAGGAGTTGCTGCTGAAGGTACAGAAATTCCTGATACACTTGTAGGTGCTCCAGCAGACACGGGATGTCCAGTCTGTGGGACGCCAATGCCTGTTGATGCTCCAGGCACCACCTCTGTTCCTGATGGCACACCACCTGTCACCAGTGGCATGATGGATATATCTCCATCACCTTTTTTCTGAATTTTAAGAGTCCCCTGTTTTTCCAACTCATGGATCTTTCTTTCCAGAGTGGATTGTCTCTGAATGGCTTCCTCCTTTTCCTTGATCATTTTCCGCAGTGAGCTGACTTGCGTGTTTGCATCTTTACAGACCTCCTGCGTGGAAACAGGAGGCAGATGAGGTAAGACAGGGTACAGTTATGGGACAAATAAAAATAATAATAATAATAAAATATATAATAATAATCATACAAATGAAAAAAAAAATCATGGAGCAGGGAGTCCTGTTGTAGGGGACATCAGCTAAAGACTCAAGGTCCAAGCAAACACAAATGTTAGTAGCTGAAGCAGTTCTTCAGCCATAATCTTTTTTTTCTAAATAAGGGGAAGGGTTTTAACCTTCGTCGTAGTCTGTGTCTACTTCAAGCAGATCCACCCGTTATTTTTCATGCTGGTTGTTGTCACAGGGAGAAAAAAAGTGAGGGGAAATCCAATGATGCCTTCCTTTCTTAGAGGCACTACAGGAGGACTGCATTTTGATGACTGTTACCTAAAGGTAAATCCTGGCGGGGTTGTCTACCTTAACAGTTTACACATTTAGATTTTCCTAGAGGTTTTCATTAAAGAAAAATATAGTAAAACTGTTTGTCCATTAGTTAGACCTTTTTAGAGTGCTTGAACCAAGAGATGCATTTATAGGTTACAAATAGGAGTGACTACATCTGGTATCATAACATGGCCACACAGTGTTACATTGGTTAAACTCCAATTAAGCAACATCTGTTCGGAGTCCCACTGATATTTATAAGGAGGTTTTGAAAGGCAAAGGCCTTTTCAAGTTACTAAAGAGAAAAACCCTATTTTTATGTGGTGTCCTCTCTATCAAGTGTACAAAAACATGTGCATACTTATATCAGCAACAATGCCTTTTCCCCACTAAACACCTTCAATCGATACCAGCCTTTCTCAACCTTTTTTTAACCTCAGAACAACCCTTAAAATCATTCTCAGGGAACCCCTTCTAAAACCAGTTCATTAGAGGTCAGTAAGAAATATGCCTTACTTTAATGGTCAGTTGGTGTCATGCCCCTTGCTCTGCCAAGGGGTGTTGCTCCTCCAAAACTAGGCAGGCACCAACATATAGGAGGTCAATCAGCCATAGGTCAAGCAGCCTATGGCAACCTCTGAAGGAAACCTAGGGTTCCACGTAACCCTGGTTGAGAATGGCTGACCTGGCCAAAATGCAGTTGCTCAGGTAACATAATATGTACTACCAAGTTTTTAGGCTCCTTGTAGCACACCCCAGAATAGTCTTAAAACGTTCTTTCATGCAAATATCAAATGAGAGTGCCAACACAGGACATGTCCCTCTATAGCAAGAGATTACGTTATTCAAGACACAGAACAGAATATTCGTACAGCTGGTACCCTGGTGACAAAAATGAAATAAAGAACACAGCAGACAGAGAGCAGGAATGTCACCAGATTTTGTGTCTACCGTATTCCTTTCAGCAAAGTGGCTTCATGTTTTGTATCTCAGATACATAGCAAGGCATTGTACTGTGCCAGTCACTCACACCACTGTACAACAAATAGCAGGTCAAGGAAAATGGGGGATTTAACAAAGTAGTAACAGGATAGGTTTCAGCTCATTGTGAAAATCTCTACAGCATAGGCTAAGTTCCGTGTACACCTAGGTGAGCTCATTTTTAAATAGTAATGTCAAGACAATGGGAAATGTACCCGAGCAATTTCCAGTTCTTTATGTCTTTGCATGAGCTGTTTTTCCAGTTCTACAATTTTTGACATCGCTTCATTTTCTGTGTCTTGGAGCTTTTCAGAGAGCTGGAAATAAAGAAAAAGAAACATGAAATATTTTTACTTATTTGCATGGTCTCCATAATTCCCATGGCACGTGGTAATAAACCATTCACATCACTCCATGTGACAGAATTTCTTGGACTA